AATGGGGCTGAGTGCACTCTTAGCAAGTTTGCTGATGACATGTCGTGGGTTTAAACCCAGTCAGGTAACTCGTTCACTCACCCCCCCCCCTTCTTTCCCTCCCCTACTCCGGAGGGACGGAGAGGAGAATCGAAAAGAATGCAACTCCCACGGGTTGAGATAGAACAGTTTAGTAACTAAGGTATAACACAGATCACTACTGCTACCACCAATGATAATAATGATAAAGGAAATAACAAGGGAAGAGAATACAACACCTCAGCACCAGCTGACCGATAACTCGCCCCCAAGCCTGACCAAGCTCCGACCGATACCTCCTCCAACCCTGCAGTTCCCAGCCCTTCCGGCTAACTCCCCGTTACCTCCTGGGCATGACGTGCTGTGGTATGGAATACCTCTTGGTCAGTTTGGGTCAGGTGTCCTGTCTCTGCTTCCTCCTGGCTTCCCCTCCTCCCTGGCAGAGCATGAGGCTCAGCAAAGTCCTTGGCCAAACCAAACATCGCTATCAGTTCTGTTCCCAGGCCGAAAGTCAAAACACTGCACTGCACCAGCTACCAAGAAGGAGAAACATGACTGCTACTGCTGAACCCAGGACATGACACCAAGTTGTGTGTGTTCTGACAGCATGGTATGCCACAGAATGACCACACGCCATCTGTATAATATGCAGAGTTTATTAACAAGCACACTAAAGCAAATAAGCACATCAAAGCAAACAATAACACTAGTGTGAATCAGTTATACATATATATAAAATAAATAAGTACAATAAAGCAAATCATATATGTATATATGAGTAAAGTGCAGAGGAAAATTTAGCAATGCAACAAATCATTACTGCATAGAGAGAACAGAGGTTGAGAAGGAAATACATCACAAATTACCACTGAATCATCATCCAGGCCTACACTTCCCACTGGGAAGCCCCATTGCAGCCAATGCCAGGAGTCTCGGGTAACTGGGAAAATTCCTACATAGTGCGTCCACCCATTGGTGAGGCTTCGTATTCAGCCATGAGAAGGGCCTGCTTTTATACCTTTAGAAAAACAAAACATCTTTATGCCAGATCTGTCATTGTTTATTCGTGGGTCTGTTCAGTTACTTGTGATTGCACTGCTGTCCACGCTGAGAAGTGCTGGCCAGGCACGCTGGTGTGGCCAAGTGTGAAGGTCATAGAACAGCTGCACCCTCATGTTTTCCTACCTCTTTCCAACAAACCACTCATGATAAACATAAATATATATACTACACCAAATGCACTTTGACAAAAACATGCTTTGTTATGTCTCTCAGTCATGAGAGGGAATCAACTCTCAGACAGGCTCCCACCTATTAGTGTGGTGCAGTTGACACACTGGAGGGAAGGGATGCCATCCAGAGGGATCTTGAACAGGCTCAGGAAGTGAGCCAGTGCAAACCTCATGAAGTTCAACAAGGCCAAGTGCAAGGTCCTGCACCTGGGTCAGGGCAATCCCAAGCACAACTACAGGCTCTGTGGAGAATGGATTGAGAGAACACCCTGAGGAGGAGGACTTGGGGCTGTTGGTTGATGGGAAGCTCAACATGTGCCAGCAGTGTGCGCTTGCAGCCCAGAAAGCCAACTGTATCCTTGGCTGCATCAAAAAGCAGCATGACCAGCAGATGGAGGGAGGTGATTTACCCCTCTACTCTGCTCTGGTGAGACTCCACCTGCTTGAGCAAGTCCAGAGGAGGGCGATGAAGATGATCAGAGGCTGGACACCTCTGTGAAAGCAGGCTGAGAGAGGTTGGCTTGTTCAGTCAGGAGAATAGAAGGCTCTGGGGACACCTTATAGGTGTCCTTCCAGTACCTAAAGGGGGTCTACATGAAATCTGGAGAGGGAGTTTTTGCAAGGGCATGTAGTAACAGGACAAGGGGGAATAGCTTTAAGTTTACCGAGTGTACATTTTAGATTAGACATTAGGAAAAAATTCTTCACTATAAGGGTGGTGAGACAATGGAACAGTTTGCCCAGAGAAGTTGTGGCTGCCTGATCCCTGGCAGTGGCCAAAGCCAGGTGGGATGGAGCTTTGAGCAAGATGGTCTAGTGGAAGGGGTACCTGTCTGTGCATGGGTTTGGAAATAGATGATATTTAAGGTCCCTTCCAACTCTAACTGTTCTATGATTTTATGATGACTGACCCAGGGGTGGAAACACAGCCCTACCATCTGCCATAGACTGATCCAGACTGCACTGGAACATGGAAAGCTCCAGAACTCCTGCAGTATATTGATGACATTATCGTGTGGGGTGATACAGAAGTTTTTGAGAAAGGGAAGAAAACAATCCAAATCGACACTCAGTGGCTCAACCTCCACCTCCCGCTGTGATTGGCCCGGCGGAGACCAGCAAGTACCACCCTGGGGTGCTTGGCTGAGGCAGTGCCATCTCTGGAGGCTGGTTCTCTGCCTGGGCAGGAGGACACAGCCAGCTGCCATTGGAGCTCCCACTGCTGTACCTGAAAAACAGCTCCCTCCAACCCTGGTTACACAGGGCTGGCCACCCCTTCCCACCTCCCAGGAGACCAAGCTCCCAAGGTGGGATCCTGCATGGCCACTGATGAGAGGGCTGGCAGCCAGGATTGCTTATGCTCCCACCGTGTAGTGGTATGGGTGGTTGTCTTAGGCCAGTGGACAAGATGTGCTAGCAAGACCTTCTGTTGAGTCACAAGGTTCAGAAAAGACCTCTTGCTTTCCAGCTGATCATCAGATATTTAGAGGGGCTGGGTGTGGCTGAAACCAATCCTAGTCTCAGACTTGGTCAACAGTTTATGTCTAAAGGGTTGTGTCACCTTCCTTGTCCAAATTTGTCCTGCATGCCAATACTGTCACATACAAGGGGGGTTTCCTTGAACCCTTTATATTTGACTAGCCTGCCAGTTTCCCAAGAAAGATGAGACCCTTATGCTTGACCAGTTATCCCTGTGGTAACTTTTCTGACACCTCCTGCTTAAAACCCAAAAAGCCAGAGGGATCGTGAGGCCCCGCTTTCACGGTCTGTATTCATACTGAAAATCAAGATCAAGCGAGCTTTTGCCCTTCTGCTCCGCGGAGGTTTCCATCCTCCCTGAGCTCGCCTTAGGACACCTGCTGCCCAGGGAGGTTGTGAGTCTCCTTCCTGGAGACATTCAAAACCCGCCTGGACACATTCCTGTGTAACACTATCTAGGTGTTCCTGCTCCGGCAGGGGGATTGGACTAGATGATCTTTCGAGGTCCCTTCCAATCTCTAGCATACTGTGTGATACTGTGACCAGTCTGTGCGTTCCAGTACTCAACTCTATGACAGCCACCGAATCGGAGGGTGATTTGTCTAACCTATTCAGGGACCTTCCCTGACAGCATCACCAAGTCAAATCCCTATTTAAATTATTGAAGTCTATGGAGACTTACACAAAACAGACTTCAGGCTGAAGATTTTTATTATACAAAATACAAGTTTGTGACAAGATAAGGTTCAAAGATTGCCCGGTGATAAGATATGTCTGCAAAAACAAGCTTGAAGTGATACACAACCAAACTATAATCACTATAACAGCTAGCGTGAGCTAGTTCATTTGGCACGCATAATAAAAAGTTCTTACCCAATAATGTCCCTAGCGGGAGAAGACATGTTCAGCCTGTCAACTGATCCAGAAGTTATGATGGAGTCTTCTCTAACTCCTCCCCTCTTTCATTCACTTTATACCTTTTCTTTTAATCTCAGGTGGAGCTTGAGTGACTCTAGTCATGCATTCTTTTATATTGATTGATCTAAAATTCTCTGCTTTTATCTTAAAGATATAGCCGATAAAATAGCACATGCTCAGTGAGGAGTGGTTGTTCTTGGAGGTGGGTACTTTGGAATGGAGGTGTGCATTAGTGTTGCAATGAGATTATAATGAGCAAGGTCACCTAAGGAAAGTGATTTTACCACAGTTGCTGTCCCAGCAACAGACATCTCTTATATTTTCCAATTTGACAGCTGCTATGAGGCTTAAGATCTGCATGGTACCATCAAGTTCCCAAACCTGCAGGGAGTACAACAGAGCCTGGCCACAGTGTCTCCACTCCTCCCACCCTCCATTGCTCCTCTAAGTATCAGGTTGTGTTGCCTGGGGAAAAGTGGTGGAGTAGATTCCATGCATGCCAACCATCCTGAAAATGGTAACTGTATTTCACCCTAAAAAGGTTTCTTGTAATATTACAACTTCTGTTAGGCCCCAGTTTTCTCAAAAAACCCACGCCCCCTCCCCCCCCCCCCCCTCCCCAAGTGATTTTCCCATACACTACACTCCCACACAGGCTCAGCAGGAGTCTAGATGGAGGCAGCACTGGGCACAACAGCAGAGCACTGTTTCTCGCCTACCAAATTTGCAAGTTGTCATTGTGTCAAATGTCAGAATTTAATTTAAAAAAACAGGAACTCGCTACCATATAGACAAGTCTTCTCTATATTTATGTTTAAAAATACTAATTTTCAAAAATGACAATTTATAAAGGAAGAGTCTGCTGGTAGCTTTCTTTCAGCTCATGCTTACCACAGATTCTACTGAGCTTTTCCTAATTTAAAGTGTCTTGCTGCCTCCATATGGAATCTGTTTCCTCCTTCACCTCCTAAATTTAATGAAAATATAATAATAATAAAAATCAGTAGCTGACAATTTTAAGCAAAAATATAAAGCGCTATAACATTACCTACATTGCCTTTTACTGAACTAGGCTTTTGAACACCCTAGGAGTTTTGTGGAAATTTAACCAGTGTTGAAAAGGCACAGGATTTTTGTGGTCTGAGACTTCCAGCAGCAATGCTTTTTCCCTACATGTTGCCAACAAAGATGTTGAACAGCTCTGGTCACAATACTGACCCCTGAGGAATGCCACTCATCACTGATCTCCACTTGGACATCAAGCCGCTGACTAGAGTTATTTGAGTCTGACCATACCCAGAGATGATGCAACAGTGATACAAGCTATTAATTATTAAAATCCTCACAAAGCTGTCTGTGTCTGGTAGTTTTTGTTCCATGGTATATCATGAATGGGTAAGTTATTTTTCACATAGAAGTTTAGTTGCACATAAAGAAAGATAACTTTGGTCCAAAGGACAGCATATTGGAAATGTGATCACTGAGAGTTCAAAAATCAATGTAAAAGCTAACAAAAATAATTGGGCATTTCATTCCTAAACCTGCACAGTGTGGTTGTCTTAGTAATTTGCCTTTTCATTCTGTGTGTCTGCTAACTGTTGAGTTTTTAAGTCTTCAGCTTGTTCATGATCTTCCTTATCCACATCATCTACATGACTAGATTCCTTTTCTTCTGCTTCTCCTTGATCAGCACTTCCATATTCTACTTGTTCCAGGTCTGTTCCACTTATAAGTTCGGCCTGTACATCTTCCACCTGTATTTGATTTACATGCTCAACATGTAACTGCTCTACGTGAACTTCAGCACCTTGCTCAGTCTGAATATGTTCAACTTCCAAATAACTAATTTGCACCTGTTCTTGCAGTTCATCCACCTGTGTGCCTTTTATTAGATTGTCCTGTATGACATCCTGGTGCATCTGTTCCACAGTTACCTGTGCAGGATCCACCTGTACCTGAATTATTGGTAGGACATGGACTTGCTCCACTTGCTCTATTATAGTCATTGATGTTACTGGTTCAGCTTCTACAGCTTCCACTGGAAGAACCTCTTCTGTCACTATATGTTCTGAAATATTGTGCATGTCTTTGAGATGTCTTCTCAGCTCACTGCCTTGCATAAACCACAAATCACATAAGGTACAGTGGTTGGGTTTGTCACCAGTATGTATTACCAAGTGATCTTTGAATTGATCCCAGCTGTTAAACACACTGTTACAAACCTGAAACAAAAGATACGGTATGTTAAATGGTGCCAACAGAAATATGACATAGTGCCTATTTCAGATTATAGCTTCACATAGTGTAGTTTCTTGCTACTTGGATTAAAAAACAAAACAAAACAAACCTGCCATGTACATTAGAGATAAAAGCTGAGAAGTCAGCTTCAGATGAACAGAAGACCTGGTATTTATTTATTTTTAAGAAATGGTGTGCCGTTCTGAGTTGTGCATACACAGGATACCTACAAAAATTGAGTCAGTACAGCATTTGAAAGTTTTCTTATTTTAACATTATGTGAAATTCACATACAGATTCATGCCCCAATAAATGGTGCTAGAATTTTGGGTGGAAATCTACTTATATAATAATATATGATAAAAGTGTAATACAAACTGTTATTTTACTGAAGTTCTAGATGCATTACTACTAACCATTTCAAAAAAATGCTTGAGTGATTTCAGCAGATAAAAATCTCTTAAAACTTTGTTCCTTTAAGTCTGTTCTAGCTAAACGTACTGCTTTGAATGCAGGCATACTAGTTTCAAAAAGCACTGGAACACACTTCCCTTCAGCTGGCACTGAGATAAGTAACCTGAAAAACACAGAGTGACTGCAGAAATGAATGAGATGCCAGGGTAGAGAGAGAAGAGTGAGGTAGAACCAGGCTTGGAGTAAAGAAACAGGTTCAGAGGTCTTTTGTCCATGCAAGTGTTTGTGGGTGAACACACATTTCACTGTCGGAACCCCTTCAATATTGGCAAATATTTGTGAAACAGAATTTTCCATCTCCTTAATTTAAAGCAGCAGCACAGAAGGATGGAGTATCTGACAGGGATTAACTCGAAGAACAGACCTGTATAATAGACCTGAATATACCCATTTTGCTGTTGAGGTCTTAAAACCATGTTTCTGATGCCAGTGACATGCTTTCTGTCCTGCCCCCCTCCCCCAACGCTTTAGAAAGAAATTGCACACACTTTTCTTAAAATACTGACCTTATAGATAAGCACTCAAAATTACTTATCCATTGTCCTGGTTTCAGCTGGGATAGTTAATTTTCTTCCTAATACCTGATGCAGTGCTGTGTTTTAGGTTTGGTTTGAGAACAATGCTGATAACACACCCATGTTTTAGTTGCTGCTAAGTACAATCAAGGACTTTTCAGTCTCTCATGCTCTGCAAGTGAGGAGGGGCACAAGAAGCTATGGGGGAACATGGCCAGGACAGCTGACCAGAACTAGCCAAAGGGATATTCCATACCACAGAATGTCATGCTTGACCAATCTGATAGCCTTCTATGATGACATGGCAAGATGGGTCGACGAGGGGAGAGCAGTGGATGTTATCTATCCCAACTTCAGCAAGGCTTTTGACACTGTCTCTCATAACATCCTCATAGGTAAGCATAGGAAATGTGGGTTAGATGAATAGACAGTGAGGTGGATCAAAAACTGGCTTAACTGCTGAGCTCAGAGGATCCTGATCAGTGGAGTAGAATCCAGTTGGAAGCCTGTAGTCAGTGGTGTCCCCCGAGGGATCAATACTGGGCCCAGTCTTATTCAACTTGCTTATCAATGACCTGGAGGAAGGGATAGAGTATATCCTCTGCAAGTCTGCTGACCCTATGAAGCTGGGGGGAGTGACCAATACACATGAAGGCTGTGTTGCCATTCAACAGGACCTTGATAGGCTGGAAAATTGGGTGGAGAGAAACCTGTGAGAGACTGAACTGAAATCAGACTCCACTGTCCATTGTCTCAAAGATTGGTATTGGAAGCTGAGATGGGATTCCACCATCCATTGTCTCAGAGATAGGTGGGAGGAGTTGAGATAAGACCCCAAGGTCCATTGCCTGAGAGAAGGGTGTGAGGAACTGAAATGGGACTCCACCATCCATTGCCTGAGAGATGGGTGGGAGGAGCTGAGCTAAGACTCTCCTGTCCATTATCTCCAGGACTGGTGTGAGGAATTGCTACAGACATGTGCAACTGAAGAGCTGGATGCAAGACCAGCAAAACTGGTCCACCAGGAATGTGTAGTACTTGACAATAAGAACAGAGGTACTCCCCCCAACTCCTAATAAAAGAGGGAAAAGGTAATCGCCATCGTGGGACACCCTCCATGGGGACACCTCCAAGAGGACACCCTCCATAAGGACACCTCCACGAGTACACCTCTATGAGGACAACTCCATGGGGGCACCTATCTCTGATGACTACTATGGACCCTTGGGGACACTTTGCTCCAATATTGACGACAAAACCTGGAGGAATCCCACCACCGAGGACAACGACTACAGACCCTAACAAAACCTAATGAGGTTCAACAAGGGCAAGTGTAGGGTACAGCACATGGGAGGAAGAACCCAAAGTACCAGTACAGTTTGGGGGCTGACCTACTAAAGAGCAATTCAGCTAAGAAGGACCTAGGAGCTTTGGTGGATGATAAGTTGACCATGAACCAACAGTGTGCCCTTGTGGCTATGAAGGCCAATAGTATCCTGGGGTACATCAGGAGGAGTGGGGCCAGCAGATTGAAGGGAGGTGATCCTCACCCTCTACTCAGCCCTGGTGAGGCCACATCTGGAGTACTGGAGGAACAAGCAGGTTGTGTTGCTGACCCTGTTGCTGGTGTCCCAGACTGCTGACCAATATGGTCGCCTCCAGAAAGAGAGCTTGCAGTAAGAAGACTGCAGCAACTCAGACAGAGACCCTGTCCCAAACCGTGGCTGTTCAGGTCTCTGGATGCAGGGAGTGCCAGAGCCTGCTGCTGCCGGGGGAGGGAGGACAGCATTCCACTTGCATGAGGTGTGAGCAAGTAGAACATCTGCTTAGCCTGGTGGCAAAACTTAAGGAGGAGGTTGAGACACTGAGGACCATCAGGGAGTGTGAAAGGGAGATCGACTGGTGGAGTAACTCCCTGGTGTGCCAGTCAGAACGGTTCCAGGGAGATACCCCCCAAAAGGGGAACGACCCCCTGCCTTCTCACACAGAGGGGGATGGCACGAGACAGCCCCTGCCCTGTAGCTGTTGCGCAGAGGTAGGGGACCAAAAAGATGACGAGGGTTGGAAGCGAGTTCCAGTTCGGTGTCGTGGGAAACCCTCCCCCCTTCCTGCCCTGCTTCCCCAGGTGTCCCTCCGCAATAGGTTCGAGGCCCTGGATCTTGAAGGAGAGGTAGGTGAGAATGTGGGGCAAGGCCAGCCTACAAGGCCACATAGGAAAAGGCAGTCGACTTTGCACCTCAAGACTGCCTCTGATAAGAAAGAAAGAAGGGTCCCTTCTGAGAGGAACAGAGGGCCCGATATGCAGAGTTGACCCTCATCATAGGGAAGTGTGCAGTCTTCCTGGAGCCTGGATCAGGGATATCACTAGGGCGCTCCCCAACCTGGTGCACCCGACAGACTACTACCCGCTGCTGGTCTTCCAGACAGGTGAGGGGGAAGCTGCTTCCCGCAGTCTGAGGGGGATGAAGAAAGACTACAGGGCCTTGGGGCGGATGGTGAAAGAGTCTGGGGCTCAAGTGATCTTCTCCTCACTCCTTCCATCTTCCACTGATGATGTGGGATGGAATGGGAAGATTCAGTCCATAAACGATTGGCTTCGAGACTGGTGCTACAGGCAGGGCTTTGGATTCTTTGATAACAGCTGGTTTTATAGGGCACCAGTCTGGACAATGACAAGTGGGAAAGGTTTATCTCACAGAGGCAAAAGGATGCTGGGGCATGAATTAGCAGGGCTCATTTGGAGAGCTTTAAACTAGATTTGAAGGGGGATGGGGTTGTAGCTGGGCTTGCCCCAGTGGGGCAGCACTCCAGAATTGATGAAGACTGGGAGGCCTCCTATAATCCTAGGGTGAAATCAGTGTGCTCAGCTCGCTCCCTGGAATGTCTGTACACCAATGCACGCAGCATGGGAAATAAGCAGGAGGAGTTGGAAACCTGTGTTAAGTCAGGAGACTATGATCTGGTGGCAATTACAGAGACGTGGTGGGACAGCTCACATGACTGGAATATAGTCATGGAGGGCTATGTCCTTTTCAGGAAAGACAGGCCAGCCAGGCGGGGTGGTGGGGTTGCTCTTTATGTGCAAGAGCAGCTACAATGCACTGAGTTCTGTCCAGGGACAGATGACGAGCGAGTTGAGAGTCTGTGGGTGAGAATTAAGGGGCAGGCTGGCAGGGGGGATACTGTTGTGGGTGTCTGTTACAGACCACCAGATCAGGGTGAGGAAGTTGACGAGGCCTTCTACAGGCAGCTGAGAGCGGCCTCACAGTCACAGGCCGTGGTCATAGTGGGGGATTTTAACTTCCCTGATATTTGCTGGAAGGACCACTCAGCAACCCAGCCCCAGTCCAGGAGGTTCCTCCAGTGTATGGATGATAATTTCCTCCTGCAAATGGTGGATGAGCCAACCAGGAGAGGAGCGCTGCTGGATCTCATCCTCACTAACAAGGAGGATCTGGTTGAAGCAGTAAGGGTTGAAGGCTGCCTTGGTTGCAGCGACCACGAGATGGTGGAGTTCAGGATCTTGTGTGGTAGGACTAGTAGAATACCAAGTAGAATTGCAACCCTGGACTTTAGCAGGGCAAACCTTGGCCTTCTCAAGCAATTGCTAGGGGAAATCCCATAAGCAAGGCTGTTTGAAGGTAAAGGGGCCCAAGATAGTTGGTTGACATTCAAGGATTGCTTTTTCCAAGTTCAAGATCAGAGCATCCCGACACGTCGGAAGTCAAGGAAGAGGGCCAGGAGACCTGCGTGGCTAAATAGGGAATTGCTGGGTATGCTCAAGTGGAAGAGGAGAGTTTACAGGTCATGGAAGGAGGGGCTGGCCACTTGGGAGGAATATAAGGCTGCTGCTAGAGGATGTAGGAAGGCAGCTAGGAGGACTAAGGCCTCCTTAGAATTAAACCTGGCGAGAAGGGTCAAGGACAGCAAAAAGAGCTTTTCAAATACATGGCAGATAAAACTAACACCAGAGGCAATGTAGGCCCACTGATGAA